AAAAAAAAAAAAAAAAAAAAAACGATTCCTGCTCTTAAAAAAAGGATGAAACAAAGCCAACACTTATCTTCGTCCATATTGAAAAATATGGAGGAGAAGGTCAAAAAGGTCGTGCCCGGGATCGAACCGGGATTACAGGAATCAGAATCCTGGGTGCTAACCATTACACTACACAACCTTAGTTGTTAGAGTTCTTTGAGTTATGTCATTATCAGCCAGCCACAGGACAATCGCCAATTGCCAAACTCTATTACCAAACCATTCTCATTTGTTGCTTTTCCAGGGCATGGACCAGCACCTAGTAGCTACCTTGAGCGAGCAGTAAAAGACATATTGCCTGATGGAAGCATTCGAAGCGGGAGAATAATTCCTATAAAATCCACCAGCGTATAGCATCTCATTTATCTCGACACGGCCGTGCCTGTGCTTGTACATCGTGGAGAATCTAGCTAACATATTACGTCTGTACATTCGTTATACATCAATGCCCCAAAGCCAGCATAAAACAGCATCCGAAGTATCACATATCCCGCTCTTTCACGAGAATGAATAACAGGGGCCACCTTAGTACACCAGTGGCCCAAGGGTGCAAGGGAGAGGAAGGGTATGCTCTGATGAAGGCAACAGCCCCGACTAGACGGCGCCAGCGCCAGCAGTGTCACCCGTTCGTGTCAACCCATCAAGTGACAGGTTGAGATTGATGGAGGTAATTGGGCAGCCAGGAAGCGATGATATCAGTTGATTGGTGACAGAAGAAAAACGGTAACCCATCAGCGCTGATTATACATTGCGGAAGGATCATCCAATAAGGGGCTGCCCGGAACTGCATCGAGAGCCACTGCGTGAAGTGCCGGCTTATCTGCTTCGAGAAGAAGCCCCTTCTCACGACGCTCGAGCCTTTCCTTAACCCATTCTGCCACTTCTGGGTCCTCAGTTGAAGGTGACCCCCCGGGTCCAGAGCCATTGACGAGTGGCGTGGCCTCTTCATTCGCTTCATCCGACTCGCCCGGAGGTTGCATGAGCGAGGATAGCCAGGGGTGTCGAAGAAGCATGTTATAAGAAGGGCGGTTGTTCGGATTCTTATCCAAGCAGGCGCGGACAAAGGCGTGCGCTTCTTCCGAGTACCCAGTTTCGGGAAGGGTAGGAGCATCTCCATGGACAATCGCCTGAATTTCACCTGTTAGAACTGCAAAAGTCCCGAGGTATCGCTAGGTAGGAGGTTATGAGTACTCACGTGTAGCTGACTGAAGATGTTGTTGAAGGTCTCTGGTGGGTAAGGGTAGCGGCCGATGGCACACTCAATAATGGACAGACCCAAGCTCCATACATCGCTCTGAACACTATAAGTTCCACCTCCACCAGAACCAGACTGTTGAACGCCACCGCCAGCGATACGCTCGGGCGCCATATAACTCTGGCATCCAATATTCGTCTTGGCAATACTGGCGACAAGGTTGCCGCTCACGCCAAAGTCACAGATCTTAATCTGTCCACGCGAATTGATTAGGATATTCGTGGGCTTGACATCGCGATGAATGATGTTGTGGTCTTCCTTGAGCGTTCTCAGACCCATGACTGTGGACAGCGCGACCTTCCGAAGGATATTCTCCGGGATACCCTCCTTGTAGATCTTGTCAATTGAGCCACCATCCATGTACTCGACGCAGATGTATACCGCTCCTTCCTGGAAGAAGGCGCCGTAGAAGTCGATAATGAACGGCGAGACACACCGATGCAGAATATCCAACTCCATGATGATTTGCGCGAACTTGCTCTCGTCGAGCTCTAGACGGATTTCTTTCATCGCCATGACAACACCAGAGAGCGAATCCTGCGAATTCCCCGCCCCATTCTGCTCCGTTGGGCGACTGACAATTCCGCGCAACCCCAAGCCGGGCTTGCGCATGTGCGGCCGACTATGTCGAACCTTATAAACAGTACCATAATTACCCTTGCCCAGTTCATCCAAGCGGTCCACTTCGTCTAATGATATGCTGAAACTTTGACCCGAGGAGAATTCGATTCCACCGCCGTGGAGGATTGCTTTGTTCTTGAAATTGAGCGTTCCTGCTTTCGTGTCGATGAATTCAGAGTACCTGCTGAACGCTGTCTCCTGCTTTCCAGGTTCACTGTTGGACTGTCCATCTGGGGCAGGGCTGTTCGAGCCAGTGGCATCAGAGAGCTTGAGGCCGGGCTTCATGCGTTTCGCTGCCAGGCCGCCGGGTTTCGGGGAGTTGGTAGGCGAACCATGAGGGATAGAGGGAGATGAAACCCAATTCTTGGTGCCCGGCCGGACCGCCCCAGGAGGCAAGCGGCCCGCGAAAGCACCACCGAGAGATCCGTTCGCGGCGGAAGGCGGAGATGAAACGGGGCTAACGCTAGACGTGGATGGTGAAGAGGCTTTAGGCACGAAGTTAGTTGTATTAGCATGTGTCAGACTCGGCGGCGCTCCTTGTCGAGATAAGGAGAACGCTTTCATTTTGGCCAAAATGTCCTGATTCAATCCTCCCGGCTGTGCGCCACTCATCGAAGCTTGGGGACGAGGGATAGTGCCGACTCCTCGTCGGGCTGCATTGATCTGACCCAAATGCGTCGAGGAGGGATTGATTGTGGGTTTGTCCATGGTCGGTCGCAAGGATGGTACTGAAGCGTATGACTGCGTAGTGGCAAGAGACGGAGAGAGGTCGTCGTCCGTGGTGTCGGACCTATTATCAATGTCTGACATGACGGGCTTTGCAGTTGAGATCTCAGCCAAAGGCTCTCGTTCAGTGTCCATGAGATATGATCGGTGCACGAGGAATGCGTGTTGTGAGATCCAGAGGCGCGCGATTGGCTAGTTGAAGGCCGGTAGCCAACACCGTGTGAGATCGCGGACTCGGGAGAGTCGGGGTATCTTGGATTGAACGGGAGGGCGGGGGAGGGCAAAGTCGGAACGATCGGGAAATAAGGTGTCGAAGTCAATTGCGACTTCGATTGGTCTCGATCGTTTTCAAAAGTGCAAGTTTTTTTTTTTCTTGCAGCGGGTGTGCAGAAGCGAGCTACCGAAGCGGATCTAAGAGCAAGAAAACAAGGCAGGATTTCGTCGACGCGGGGCACACCTCAGGCCATTCCCGAGGGAGAATCGTTTGTATCGATCCGGTAAGAGCAGGCGGCAGGCAGAGCCCTGAATAGAGATGACTCGTAGTGGGAAAGGAAGAAAGTCACAATCTTAAGAGGAAAGGTAAACTGCAGAAAGGGGAAGAAGCTAAGAGAGACCGAGACCAGAGGAAGAGGTGAAGTTGGAAGAGAGGGAGGAGTTGAGCACGTTTGTTGGCTGGTGGTGGGGTGAATTGAGGGGCGCTGGAGTTGAGAATCAAGGACAAGGCACAGACGGTGGAGAGGCAAGAGGGGAGGAGGGGGGAGGAGAGGAGGAGCGAGAGTGGTCGAGAATCCGAGTCTAGAGGGTGAAAGCGAACGCGAAAGAGGGAGAGTGAAGAGTGAAGAGGGAGTAGAAAGAAAGGGAAGATGATGGATGGAGACAGACGACGGAGATGGGGGGAGACCAGAGCAAGAGTAGCAAGAACTGGAACTGGTCATGAGCTAATGAACCGTTAATATAATAGCCCGTCGTCCGCCCGCCGCCGCCGCTGTCGTAGTGGAACTGGAGGGATCGGATATGATAGCAACAATTATAATAATGATACTTATAATGCAAAATGCAATAAAACCACGCAGTTATTTAAAGAAAGCAGACAGCCGCCCATAAAGTCAAATTAAAATCCAGAAAAAGCAATCAAGCAATCAAGCAACAAGAACCAATTCAGCAAGCGAACAAGCAAGCAAACGACGAGGTTGGGTCAGGACGGAAGCTGAATCTTAATATGGCATGGTATAAGATGGTAGTTCGTTAGTTATCAATGAATAGGTTCGGTGGAATTGCATTGATTGCATTGATACTCGATGATCAGTCATAAGGTACCCTAATTAATTGTATAGAGGAAAAGAGAAATTCATGATAATATTAAAATCACGACTAATAATGGAAGAGATACATTCTCCTCATACAGTACTGTACATGTCGACGCAAAACTGGATTCCCTCCCTGTTCATCTTGTGATGAAAAGCGCCTCAGGCTTCCCTCGTCCCGTCCGACCGCCAATTACACGTGCCCCTCAGGCACATTTCACTTTAATCAACTGATACTAGGCTCGATTGTGTGAAATGCCTTGCTTGTCAGTGAGTCCCTTTCATCATTATCACTGACACCATCTTCATGACTACCACCACCACCACCACCATCATCATCATCATCATCATTGGCTCTTACCACCCCTTCTCTTCTTAACAACAAAATCCTCTTTCAATGCTCATTGTCCATTCCCACGCTTCAAAATGCTGCTGCCCTTTCCACCTTACCTCTCTCTCAAAGTCTCCGCGTACTCTCCCCCCATCCCCCCCCCCGCCACCCCCCACACCGAACTCTGGCCGCACGCAGGTATGAGTATCTATGGTCCTCCATTTGGGGCGATCAAAAGTCATTTCTGCCTGAAAATTGCCACCCCTCATCGACCGATGGATCACCGTTCCTGGACAACCGGAAATAGATAGACTGGGTGGTGATTTGCGAAGATGCCGAGTATGATACTCTCTACCTCAGGGACATCAAAGTAAAAAGGCCATACGGTGGATCGGCGGATGTGGTGCCCTGCCTACCGGACGCGCTGCCGAGGCGCAAAAAAGCCTGAAAAAGTCGCTGCTGGCGAGGGTCACTGATGGAACCGCTCGTTTGTCAACCAGGGTAACCTGGCCCGGAGAACTAACGAACGAGGTCGCGCTACGAAACGACTAACCGTACTGCTCCTTTTTCTGACGGCCAGTTTTCCCTGCTTTGGCGAGGTAAGAGCACTGAGCCCCGATGCCGTTGCTCCCCGCTGCTGCAATCGCTGGGGACCAATGGAAGGGGCACGATAGAAAGGCTAGTTCCGAATCGTGATACCAGGGCGAGGAATGACATCCAACGGGGAGGGCCGACATCATCGGTGGGTGCCAAGCACCCTATGAGATCCTCGTCCCAACTACCGGGTCTGCCTTGGAGGCCGCGTGGTCCGTCCATTCTGTTAGAGACAAATTGGATCTCAGTGGGAACGCGGCCATAGACTACTCATATGAGTACCATGATTGTCCGCTTTGGCTGTCAGGATTAGGCAGATTCGGCCACCACAGTCATTCATCAAACCTAACTATAAGCTACTCGGCTTGCCTTATCTGAATAGGCATCAACACTAACTTACCAGATTCCCCAGGCTTGGCTATCAACCCGCCTTGTGGCTGTGGTCGAGCTAAGAATCAACCCACCCAGTCCCCACGATCATGCTCTAGTCATCTCTTGTAATCCTGGTACTTTCAGGATGGCATGCCCGATGGCAGGTTCTGATCGATCACCAGTTCAGTTCTCAATGCGACAGAGCAGAAAAGACCGGGCAGTTGGCCATCCTGCATCTTCACGGCAGCCCAGTTGGGGAGACTACCAGTCCATACCCAGCGGGTAACACTGGGCCTGCCCTGCCCCGAGGTGCCAAACGGACCCTGCTGGGGCTACTGGGGTTGGTCTGGCGGCCGCCCTATAGCAGCGGCTGCTATGACTATCGTTTGCAATCCACCGAGACATGGGGGAAGCTGGTGCGGACGTATCCTCATCCCCTCTTCCGAGGGTTTTTCTTTTTCTTTTTTTCTTTTCTTGTGCATCATACTACATCCTCCCATGCAAAGGAAGGTGCCGTAGTAAACAGTGTTAAAAGTATGAACTAAAGAATAGGATAACCTGGACTATCGTAGAGTTTAAGCAGGTTCGATTAATGACCGACGGCTGATGCAGCAACTAGCGAGGTCGATCGTCGGGACGGAGTGTTGTTTAGAGCAGTTGAACGATGAGTGGGAATAAGTCCACAACCGATAAACATGCGGTGATCTATCTACCTATCTGCAATTTTTGAAGCCTTGGGACAACTCACTATGACCACTTGGGTTTCACATGGAAGGGATTTTGATCGGGTGATGTTGCCATGCGTCGAAGTGCCTGTCATTGGCTGCAGATCATGACATAACCACGGCGGGGAAGGGTTTCATCATCATGATACTATCAATCTTTTTTTCTCCCCCTTTCCTTTGCCTCGCATTCCGTACCAACTGAACTATGTACGGATACTGGACTCTACATCTGGAGTCAGTGAGCGAGTCAGACCGAATATTGTCAGTGTAGCCAAGGGACACGTTTCACCCACCCTTGCTGGAGGCTATCTCTGCCTCTGTCCGCCAAGAGTAAGTTGTGGCTATGATTTCACCCTCCATGGTTCCGTATCACCCTGCCAAGCAACCCTGTTGGGATCGTACTGGGTAGGAGGCTGTCGAGAAGAAACATCCGAGAATTAAGCGAGCAAGTACTAGTGTTTGTATAAGAATGGGGATCAGAGGTTATCAACCAGACACAAATGCTGTAGTACTCGGAAGAGTCTAGTCTACCAGAACTAAATCCTTAGTCTACGCTATTTTTGCCAGTCCAGAGCTGGAAACCAGGCTGCCTTGGCATGGCTGGGCGCGATGGACCGCGCCTCCCTTGACTCCGCCTATCGGAGGCCACCGTACGCCCTGGCGTTACCTTCACCTTGGAACCTGAAGGGTTCGTAGGTTCATTCTTGATTCGACCTATGCGGTTATTGTAAGATTTAGGGGTGCTGAGTAGGCGCTGCAATAGGATCACTTTTATCTCCTGTACATCAATCACAAGTACTAAATTACTGAGTACAGTACTGTACCTTGACTACCGTACCTTAATTATTGAATCCGATCAGCGGAGATCATTGACACCAAACACACCAAACACCACCAGACAGGCTCTAAACCCAAAGCAGCTCCAACCTTAATTGAGCTCTCATTCGTCCACCGCCTTCTCCGTTATCTCAAAGAATCTCATCATCGACCAGTCTGGTCCGCGTCATCGCCCTCACTTACCATTGGAACACACCCTAACTTCCCCCAAACTCCCCACCCTCTCTCTACTCTCCAAGACCCCAGACCCCAAGTCTACCATCTCCCCTTTCATAACTTCACTTCCTGCGTTACAGTCAAACCGGTCTCACCCTATCGATCCGTCCGCTCGCCCGCCCGTCGATGGCCATTTTTACCTCTCCCAGGTCCCTCCAGAATGCTCACTCGCCTCTGTCGCCTCAAATCATGACCCAGTCCCAACCGGGACTGGGCTCCGTTATTTTCCCAAGTGGCGCTCCCCATTCGAATCATCCATCCTTCTTCCACCTCGTGCTGCTCGTCTTCGAAGCCGTCCTCGAAGTAGTCTGTGTCAGTCTCCCGGGGTACTTCGCTGCCAAGCAGGGTCTGTTCGATGCCGATGCTCAGAAATTGGTCGCAAACCTAAATGTCACGCTGTTTACACCGTGTCTGAGTATGTCGAAAACATAACACATTATCAAAGCGCCTTGGGTCGTTGCTGACTGTGCTTGCCTGTAGTTTTCACGAAGCTCGGATCCCAGCTCACAGCAGAGAAGCTGACCGACCTCGCCATCATCCCAGCCATCTTCGTCGTCCAAACAATCGTGTCGTACTCGTGCGCTTTTGTTGTCTCACGATGTTTGCGGCTCAAGAAACGACCGTCCAACTTCGTTGCGGCCATGGCGGTAAGTGCCAAAGACGACCTGAGCGAAGCTCGATTTTTCCTTGAGGGTAGTGTTGACAGTCCCGGTTGCTGCAGGTCTTCGGAAACTCTAATTCGCTCCCCATTTCTCTCGTCATGTCCCTCTCCCAGACTCTGCAGGGCCTTCATTGGGACCGTATACCAAACGACAACGATGACGAAGTGGCGGCGCGTGGTATTCTTTATCTATTGATTTTCCAGCAGCTGGGCCAACTGGTACGCTGGAGCTGGGGCTACCACGTCTTGCTTGCTCCCAAAGAACGGTTCTTGGAGGAAGGCGAACGGGAGCAGGGCGCCAATCTTATCGGACAGGGTCAGGAACGATACACAGACAACCCTGAACAAATTGATCCCGATGAGCCTCTAGTGAGGACTCGCGAGCCGGATGATGTGACGGAGTCCTCGGGAAGCGTCGACGACGAAACATTCACTTCGGGCCAGGAAACGCCCGTGAGCGTGCGGGACTATCCCTACACGAAGCTGCCGTCTCATGGCGCCGGTGAACAGGACTCCCACGACCCGACCGTACTCGGACCCCCTCCCCAGGGGCCGTTCCTCCCCCGCCAGAGCACTACCGGCGACATCATGTGTTTCCCGAATGTGGAGGTGGCAGCCCAGGCCGAAGAAAACCAGCCCGGAGTGGTCCCACACATCAAGAGGTCGGCCAACCGGGTTCGTGGTCGGATTGCAGGCGTCTGGAACAAGGCAACCGGCGGAGTCTTTCGGCGACTACCTGTAGGTGTGCAAAAGACGCTGAAAGTTGGCTCCAACGGTGCCCGGAAATTCGCCCACGGACTCTGGGACTTCATGAACCCACCCCTGTGGGCTATGCTTATCTCGATCATAGTGGCGTCCGTTCCGTCGCTGCAAAGCCTGTTCTTCGATGAGGGAACCTTCGTCCGCAACTCTGTCACGCGAGCTATCAGCCAGAACGGCCAAGTTGCCGTACCTTTAATCTTAGTGGTGTTGGGTGCGAATCTCGAGCGTAACACGCTGCCCAAGGAGGCTCTCGAAGACGTCGATCATCCGAGG